GGTAATAGAGGGGGAGAGAGGGAAAATAATTGATAGTTGGAGGGTTGAGGACATTTCCTCCCCCCCTCCCATTCCCATTGGCGAGTGGTGAGCATGGCCTTAGAGAAATTCCAGATAGGAAATGGGCCTATTTGTCTGCAGTCAAGCTTGGCTCTCATACTCTTTCTGAGTGATCATCTCCCTGAGCAGATGACTACTTTAGCATTCAAAGAAATGCATTTGCTTGGATTACATGGTCTCTGAATTTAAACCAATTACTTCTTTTGATGTGCAGCCACAAAAATATTTATCTTCTCCAACCATGGAAGAAAAACAAGTTATATTGCACTTACTAAGAAATAATTCTACTTTATGGGCTATCTATGGAAATATTTTCAAGATTAAATTTCACTGACTTTAAAATCTAACTTCTTTATATGATGTTAACCTACTGTATATACATCATATTCTGTCTTTTATTCCCTTTTCCTTCCTCCCTCCCCTCTTTCACCTCTTATCATCCGTTCCCCAAACTTCAAATATCAAGAGCCATCCATGTAAGTCACCATCCACAGGTACTCTCTTATTTATTTAAATAATTTAATTCAGAAGCCATTCTTACTAAATTTAACCTGTATCTAAATTTTGAAAACATTGCTCTTTTAAGTGTTTAGGGTACTTGAGGGTTTTGGTGAAGTCTTCGCCAGACTATAGCACATCATAGCAAATAGATAGTATCTACTTGAAGATATTTTAACTTTTTGATGGATTCTTCTAGACTACTTATAGAAAATGGCATTAAGATACCCACTTGTCTGTAGGACTAAACTGTCAATATGCTTCTCCACGTAATGTTTTCTTGTTTCTAATTTTATGCTCTCGTCTCCTTCTTTGGTCCTGGGAAACAAATGACCTAGAGCATATCCTTTAATTCTCCCTGTATTTATTCTTAAAGCCAAAATAGCATTTTGACATTTTTATTTTCCAGCATGCCTTCCTGGATTTTATGGTTTGAATTGTGCTCACATCTGTGACTGCAAAAACGGAGCCAGTTGTGATGCAATGAGTGGACAGTGCATTTGCCCAGCAGGTTTCCATGGCAGCCAGTGTGAAAAAGGTATAGCCAGAGCATTTTTAAGCGTGTGAATGGGGGAATTCTATGTGACTATGACATCTTTCCATCTTAGGGCAAACATACACCCAAATAAAAAACATGGAATAATCACCTAAGCTTCGGACTTGGACATTAAATTGACAGGAATTCCCTCTACAGCCAATATAATGTATCCTTTTGATTTTGTGGACACTTGTTCAAAAATTGTACCCTCCCTTAAATGAAATTGTTTAATATTTTAAAATACCACTGAAGCTGTTAGTCTTCAAGGGACAAAGATTCTACCTCTGAATGAGAATTTGGCCTACTCAGTTTAAAATGGAATATTATAAAGTCCAAAAAGACTGGTTAAGCCTATGCAAAACAAGGCCATATTACCTAGTTCTCAGTAAACAACTCAGAATTTCACTTTCACTTGTATTATGTATGCTCTGTACAGAGGGCTACAAAAATCGTTATAATAATATAATGACAGCAGTCATTTGACTTTATGTGAATCAGAGTTACTGCCTTTAAAAAAGACTCCCACACCATAGCCTCATATGTCAATAGAGCTACACATGTAGTCTCTCTTCTCCATTCTTTATTCACTATTCAGTTATTACTTAGTGTTATGTGCTGGGAATATAGAGGAGCTTGCAGTCTTCTAGGGAAATAGTAAATAAATAGCATTTAAAGGAAAAATATTAGAAGTACTCTTGGCTAGTAGACTCCATCTCTTTCTTTAAGTTCCTATCTTCAAAAAGCTTACACACCTTCTCACAGGTACCAACCAGTGTCAAAGTAAATCAATTTTAAGACCTGAGTGTGAAATCATGTATAAAATGATTCTTTCTGAGAATTCCAAAATTTTCCACTCTCCTTCTAACCAACAAATCTCGTTTTATTCTCCCACTTTGCTACATGGGGCTTGATATTGAGGAAATTCTATTTTTAATCCCAGTTTACGTGCATCAGTGAAAGCTCAAGGGGTTAATTTTTCAGCATTTCCCTTTTCTTGGTAGAGTGTCCACCTGGAATGTTTGGAGACAACTGCCGTCATCTTTGTGACTGTGAAAGCACAATCTCCTGCCACCCAGTAACTGGAAGATGCCTCTGCCCACCTGGGAGAACCGGAGCCAGATGTGAAGCTGGTATGAGCCAAGTACCTCATGATGTCCCTCTGACTCATGGGTTATGCGGAGATCTCTAGGCATTTTTATACTAAGAATATTATTTAATTAAAGAACATCACGTTACCACTGCTTGTCATTTTGCTTAGTATGATTAATCAGAGCCTGTAGCTGTTACGTAGCAGGTACCCAAAGCCAGCACGACAGCTGACAGAGGACACCTTGAAGGTACCTTCGAGTGATACAATTAAATATCCTGATTACAAAAATGATTCAGAAAAATTACTAGAATTAAGGCAGTTAACGTACAGTCCAAGTTCTATTCTTGAGAATCAAGTTTCAACTATTCTTTGGGAATTGTGATTTATACTTTTATTTTTCCCTTTCCACTCACCGGAAGAAAGGTCTAGAATGTAAAATTCTAAAACTTTAGGGACTGTCTTAACAAGAGGAGAAAGTAGACTGAGTGAATCGTGGACTTACCACTTAGTATTTAAACTTAATGGAAGCTTCCTAGATGAAAAGGTTTCATATATTTCATAACAGCCTTGAAGGACTGACCTGCCACAGAGGATGAGCTAAAGTAGAGCATTTTATCTCAGAATTTACTTTCCTCATCTGCCAAAAAGAAGGGTTGAGGATGTATATTTTTAAGATCATTTCCAGCACCAACCTATGATTCTGTAACCTGGGAACTCAATAATGCTGAGGCAGCCACAGTAACCTTCCAGGCTGCAGGAGAATGCTGTGCACCCAGCACCATCTCTCCATGACACCTTGCCTCCGAGAAATACCAATAAAAGCTACTTTTTTAGAATGCCAGGCACCATCCTAAACATTTTGCTTGTATTAATTTACTCTTTACCACAAACCTGTGAGACTGTTCTATTTTATTCCTACTTGACAAGTGAGGGAGCTGAGGCACAGAAAAGTAGGAAGAGTTAGAACCAAGATTTGACTCCAGGCAATCGGGTTTCAGCCCTTGGTTGCTGATGCTATTAGTAGACAATATTGTATTTGTGAATGTCTGTATGTAGCCCAGTGTAAGGAACCTCCACGGGTTCATCAAGAGATTTATAGTCTTGCCTATCCCTTCTTCCCTTTTTAATAGACCTTTAAAATAAGGCCAGTGGATTATGAATATCGAGTTGGAATCCTTTGGGATCTTCCAACTCAGAAGCTTACTGACATGGGCATTTCTTTTTTGCAAAGGTGCTTCATTTAAAGCTCTGATCATTGTGTTGTGCTGCACTATAAGCTTCTTGAGAGTTGGGTCCATGTTTATTTATATTTTATCAAAAAAACCTTAGAACAAGGTCTAGTCTTCAGCAAATTTTTGCTGAAGGAATTCTTGCTTTTCTTTTCAGCATTCCTCAGGAGTCATGGTACGCACATTCCTGAACCTTGTCATAGCTACACTAAATCCTTCAGAATGAACATCAGCACTACACCTTGGCGAAGCCACAGTATACATGCCACCAATGAAATGCTCACTGAAGGCAGAATGCTTATAGTGGTTTCATCCAAATACTGAAGAAAACCACTAATGTTTAGTGAGTGCATATCACACACCAGGCGTTTTCATGTATACTAGGTGCCTTTACTATTATCACCATTCCCATTTTGTAGATGAAGGAGCGCAGCACAAAAAGCTTAAGGAACTTGCCCGAGGTTACACAGCTTGTAAATGGCAGATTGGGGATTTGAAACAGGCAACCTGGGTCCAGAGCCAGACTTTTAACATCTCACTATACTGCCTCTCAGGGGAAAGAAAGGAACATGAATTGCTTTTGTTTTCTGTTATCTTTCGGCATTGTCCAATATGCATTGTCCATTAACCACAGGTTGCTATTTAATTTATATTTAGTTTGATTTAAAGTTCACCTCCTCAGTCCCACATGACATTTCAACTCTTCAGTGGCCACATACGGTTAGTGGCTGTAGTCTTGGATAGCACAGTATAGAACGTTTTCGTCATTGTAGAAAGTTCTATTGGACAGCATTCAGCAGTGGCTTAAAACTAGCCACTAAACCAAGAGAGCTTATGGCCAGGCTAGAAGTGAAAGCCTCACTCTATGGACTTTCTATGGACTAAATTCTCGTATCACATAGTTTTTTTTATCCACAAATTGCCATGTGACAATGGAACATATGTATTAACATGCCCATTTTCAGTGGGCACCTCAAGGCACCTCTTGTCATGAGCTCTTTGGGGTACCTACAGCCTACACAGATGTACTACAGGGTCTTTTATTTGCATTTTTATTTTCAATTAGGCACAGTTCATCTGCGATATTAACTGTGAGCAGCTGTGTCTATGTAGGCACTATAAAGATAAAAGACCTTATTTTAATTTGAACTCTGGTAAAGGGCCTATTAAACAGCCATAATGTTAATTCATAAAAGAATGTAGCAGCTTTTTATTGGATTATTTCCCCACCCCCTTGGTAAATTAACATTTGCAGACATTCAAACAGATGTCTTAAATACACATCGTTATTAACATGAAAATGTGGTATTTTTATAAATTAAAATCAGATTCTGAACTGCTCAGGAGAGATCCTGACTCGTAACTTTTTCAAACAAGAAAACTAGGTCTTACCACCAAACTAAGTGATCCTCCTACACACTGGGCAGAGGTGGATTTGTTAGGTTAAGATTTTTTTTTAAATTTTGATTAAGTTTGATGATTTAAAGAAAAGATTCATTTCAGAAAAGCATTTGCATCACCTCCAAAGCTCCTTTTACCTACCTGTTGTTCCTTCATCTTGGAAGGGATTGAATTATTGTTTGCTCTGTAAAAAGAAATAATTGCAAAATTGATGAATAAGTTCCCATTTATCTCATATCTAAAATATAACTAGTTAGTTAAGGCAAGAGGGCCAGACCATATCCTAGCCTACCTTCATTTTCCAAGAAAACAATAAACAAACAAACAAGTAAACGTGCACTTGCTTATGGAATATTTAGGGTGAATCTCCAACCTGCCAAGAGAATTTTGAGGCAATAAAGAAATGTTTAACAAAATTATGCCCACAAGCTCAGAATTCATTCTCGTACCTGAATCCCATATTTCTATTGATATTCCTGAATTTCCACTTTCCAGCTTCCCACTTCCTTATTTGGGCTTTAATCTGCGTGTGCTCAGTAGCCTTTCCACCTGGCAGTGCAGACTGAGGGACAAGCGAGCGCTAGATGCGAATTCAGAATTCCAGCTGTGCTGTTTGTCAGGGATCTAACATTTGTGAAGGTCCCTTGAGCCATAGCAAACCTCAGTTTCTCTCTCTACAATGAGAGCGCTTACCTCACTGTCTTGCCTACCTCACAGGCTTGCTAGAACCAACTGAATTAATGTATTTGGAACCCGCTTTGTAAACTGTTCAGAGCTGGGTGACTCTTATTATTGTAAAGTTAAGTTTCTTTAATTCTTAAATGTTAGTAGTAAGTTGAGTTACTTCCCTGCCTAACCTGACCAAATCTGACCCCATTTTCTGTTTCCATGAGCAGTGCTGGGCTTTCTCCCTATTTTCACAATCTTTCAGAAACAGAGCCTATTAATTCTCTGATAATTATCTTCTGGATATCAGACTAAAACCAAATGCCCAGGCTTGAGTGTGATGCCTGAGGGTATCTTTAGTCCACATTTAGTTATTTTGTTGAAGCTAACACTTTTTATCCCCTCTCTTCACTTCTCTACTGGTTGCAATCACAATATAATTCAATTTAAAGATAGTTACATCCCTTGAGTACATATAACAGGATTTTACAGAAGTGGTACACAGGGGATCTCTAACCATTTGGACATATTTTAAGAGGTGAAAGAGTTGGATGTAAAGCCATTTCATTTTCAACAACATCAGCACAAATAATTGTGTTTTCAACCTAAAGACAAATTTCATATATTGTATATCCTGGGTGAATGTTGACTTTATCTGGCCTCAAGACAACTAATTTATTAACTAACCCATTTTCCCTGTGTCCCTCACAATGCTACTGTGATAAGCTCTATTGAATAACTTAATTCTGAGAGGGCACTTAAAAAATTTAAGTTGCTGTCCTATCTTCTCTTTTCAGTTTTGTCTCTGACTTCCTTGACACTCCCGAGCCTCTTCCTGTTTTCCCTTAAAGACCTGACTTTTAATACATAGCATTCTAGCCTGGGAAAAAGATACCATATGGTTAACCAGAATTCTTTGCAAGCCTATCATTATCTTATGCAATTCCAAGAAATAGTAGTAAAAATACTATGTGATAGAAGAGTGTATCTGAATTACTTTTATTATTTTTTTCCCTCACAGAATGCAGGCCAGGCCAGTATGGACCTAACTGCGCTCTGATGTGCCAATGTATCCATGTAGCTCAGTGTAACCCTCTCAATGGGAGCTGCACTTGCCCCTCAAAGAGAATGGGTCCAACCTGTGAGGAAAATGTTTTGGACGATCTTCAATAACCAAATACTAGCAGCTTTTCAGTGGGTGAACAGAATTTCACTGGAGTTCACCCATAGTTTGTCATATTAACGTTGGCAGAGAAACGCACTTACTCAACCATCTTCAGCCCAACCTTGCCTGCCCGTTGTGAGGTGAAAAACAGGACGTCTCAACTTTATGGCCTCCAAGCATAAGTTCCATTCTCTAGCCTACCCGTCCCAACTTTCTTTTGCTGAAGAACATGCCCAAGAAAAAGAGTATTTTTTCAAGATCCCAATTGTAGTAACATTTTGGACTAACAAATGAAACTTTTTTATATGCACAGGCGGTGTTTAAATTTGGAAGCAAGAACTGCCTCTCAGTTCAGCTTGGACTGTACTGAAGTATTCACACCTATTCACTGAAGACCTCAGTGGTCATTAAGTAGCTGGATCCTCTTTAGAAATGTCTAGTATTTCATCTATTTATTCTCAGTATCCTGCTCCACAGCTAAGTCTGCTTCAGATTGTTAATGTATTGTATTTCGAACATGACTTTTAGTGTTGGAGAACTATTAAAGCTTTAGCCACATACAGATCTGGGTAAAAGTATGACGTACACACTTACAATGAATCATCAGAATGTTGTGTGGTGCTCTCCTCATCACTGGTCAGCAGACAGGAAAAAAGTAAGTAGAAATGATCAAGGTGAGTGCTTAGCCTGCTCTGGGGGACATAAATTTCCCATAGAGTAAGGCCTGACCAGAATCAAGCTTTTAATCTACATTGGTAATTTTGATCCAAATTGTTCATCATTTAGGTCAGTTTTATAGACATCTGTAAGCGTGACTACTGTAATGAGCCCAGGAAAGATGTGGCAATAAATATAATTGTATTTTTGCTCTCAAGTAGTTTAAAAGCATTTAAAATTTCAGACTACTGGTTAATTCACATTAGATAATAGTCATTTTCTTGATTGGAAATGTTGTTACTCATTTAACTCATGCTTTATTGAGATAAAAATAGAGAATATTGAAGTTATATGACTAATGGATACTGTCTAGAGTAGCTTTTAAATCAAAACTGATCTAGGATAGAATTGACTGAAGCACTTATGAAAACTACTTGGCGTTATCATTCAGTATAGTTTCTGATTTTTACTTGACAATTATCTTCCTATATTTCAGCACATTTAACAGAGAGCTATCGCATACTAGACAGCCATGCCAAATTTCATGGTATTAAATGACATAAAGGACTTGATTAGATAACCTCTTAAGATGTTTTAAATTTGGTTTGATCTTAAAAGTGAGTTGCAATCAACTTATCTTTTCCCCCCTCCATCTACAGTATTTGGAATTATAGTTTTATGTTTATGTTTAAATTCATTTAAACTACTTCTATTAAATCAATTGAAAACTATGTTTTATTATGAATATTTGCTTATTTTTCTTACCTCATATTTTTAAATCTTCTTTCAGCTATTCCATCTGACTTGCAAAGGGAATAAAATATATAAAAGCAGAAATCTCTCTTGGGCTGTGATCCACTGCTAAATCCTCCTCATTTCAAGGGGTGGGGCGGCGGGGACAGTGACTGCAAATAGGGAGAAAAAACAAGAAACCAGATTTATCTTCCTTACTCGAGATCTTGTCTCCTAAAAAGACACATGAGAAACTCTAGAAAAAAGTTTCTAGAAACTTTTCATGGTAGGAGAGAAAAGAGTAAGATATTTCTTTGGGGTGAATTTTTTTCTTATACTATATTGCTAACTCTTTATAAATGAGAAGCATTATGTAAAATGTTAAGCATGGTTCTTGGCAAAAAGCTGATGGTCCATATATTATCTCTTTTCATCCCTCTTTCCATCCCAAACTCTAAAATAAATTATGGGAGTGGGGAAGAACAGTCATAGCATAAACCTGTGTTTGCACTATCACATGACCCATTAGACAAATTGAGTTTCACCTTCATCCTTTTATCAGTCAACAGGAACTAACGCCAGTTACTGTAGCCACTTTTCTTTACAAAAATTTTATACATTGTCTTTCATATCAAAAAAGAAAATAGAAAAATGTTTAAAATCCAGAATATTTCCATTTAACATTTGGTCACCTTGAAAAATCTTGACTTAGGTGGTACCCTGCAAAAGTTAATAATCATGTGGTAAGTCATTCCTTCTAAAAATATTCCAGTTCTTCTGCTTGAGGACACTAGCAGATGTCTGAAAATGATTATAGGCAATGACATGGACCAACATACAATAAATGTTCATCTTAAATAATTTAACAGCTGGAAAATTATAAAACAGAATTTCTTTGCAAAATTATATAACTAGAATTCTAAAAATTATTTTTAATCACTGCCATGTCAAAAATGCTTCAAATTAAGAAAATAGTATACAGTGACTCACATTTCTGAGTAAATAAATAAAGCACCCTTTTTACTTTTATAAGGATTTGTCTGAGTTTTCTACATGTGAACAGCTATTCAGGTAGAGTTAAGTGTTATTTGCCTACCAAAAATAATTTGCACAGAATTTTTAAAAATTCAACTATTATTTAAAAGTAAAGCATGATTGAATAGGCAGGTCCTCTTTAAACTAAAGTCCAATGTCAAATTAGAATCATTGCCATAGGGTAGAAATTCTTCATATTACTCCTCCTACTTTTCCTCTCTATATAATCTGCTCTTTGAATGTAGAAATGCTGACCCCAAAAGAAATCCATCCACCCATAATACCCCTTTACAAAGGTGCCTATGCTGTGATGTCTCAGGCTCTTTCATTTGAAATACAAGATCAGAGTGGGGATTATTATGCTTTTCTGCAATAATATAGCTCAAGTTTAAAGAAAACTGAGCAGATGTATGGAAGTGTGCTGGCTAATTTGGAGTTTCCATCTAACATGCCTGGGATATACCATTTCAGTTTAACACCTAACTTTCCCCCTACTCTTTCTAACTTCTACACTCATTTATTGAGTTTTCCAGATGAGACAGCTATTTGACACAGGCTAAATTATTTTTAGAGAACTTGGAAATCATTCCAAGAGTTAGTGGCAAGAATGGCATTTCCTTTGTTAGAAATAGCAAAGAGGGTTTGGCTTCTGCTGGGCCTCTTTCACCTTGGTTTCTCCAGGATCTGGTAATACAGACGTAGCAAGAATTTAAAAAAGCATTTTGATGAAGTGAACAAATAATAGCAACTGTCTGCACTCTAGGAGTTATGTATGCAATTCAGTTGAAATAACTTTTCATGGTTCTATAATAGAAAAAAAAAATCAAAGTAGCTGAGCTTTTAAAATAGATTTCAAAGTGATTCCAAAGTTTTGTCCCTTTTTAGCAAATCCTGTAGAAACTATTTGTACTTTTCCTGTTTATATTTTAGTTTTTCAAAATAAAAAAATAACACAAAAATCAATAATCAAAGTCTAAGAAGTATATTTAAAGGCAGTAAATATCTCTTTTTATATTCTTCCAAATACTGACATACTCTTTCATCTCTTAATTTTTTGTCAGTAATATATAAAACACCATGTAGTCATTCCTCATTTTAATATTTGTATACAAATAGTACAAATTTTGAAATATATTAACTAATTCAAATAACTAATATTAACATTTTATTGATATGCTTCCACTGGATATCTTAAAAATATATAGAAAATTTTATAATAATGCCTCTACTTAAAAACAATGTAAGAAATCTAAGAAACATAATTTTATTGCTCAGATTTTATGAGAAAAGTTCAACAACAGCCCATCGGACAAAAAGATTCATGTGAAGAATTGGATATTAAGTGCTTAAGTGTTGACAATATTGGTCTCTTGAAATGTAGAGCATTGGTTTGTGAATAAAATTCCATATGTAAAATTTGGATGAATTTGGTAGCTAGTGTTGAGCATGTGTTTGATGAATAGTGAAATTTGTGACTGATTAGCTATCTGAATGATCAGCTGGTAAGATTTCAAGGCCCTTATTGACCAAAAAATGCCTTCATTAGTGTCACTTTTTAACCGTTGCCTAAAAAGCAATTTTCTGTATTTTAACTCTATCCTGAATTTACTGACTCACTCAAAAATATTTATTAAGTGTTGACAACACTAGATACTGTTGGAAGCATACACACAAAAAGTAGTGTGAACAAGATGTATGTCTTCCCTGCCCTCCTAAACTTACAGTCTAGTAGATGGTATTAGCCAATGAGTGCAGTGTTTTTAAACATTCTTAGCTTTTCAGTGAGTTTTATAGTTCATCCATCCTTTTATAGTTTATTAATCCTTTCCTAAGTCTATTTCTCATAAATCTGTTAATTCTTTTATATGAATACAAACTGATAAATATATTCTATGTAACCTTAAAAATCCTACATAGCAGGTTTTACTCTTAATGCCACTACAGGAAATGATATGTATATATTTAATTTGTTAAATACTATTTTATGTTTATAGAAAACCATATTATTTTTTGCAACGTAAAAGGAAAGTCCACTTTCAAATCTGTTGTAACCGTAATAGCATGGGGATTGAGGTAGTGGAAGCAGAGGGGGAAAAAACACTATTTGTCTTATTTTGCAACTATTACATTCTTTTTGGCATCTACTACTCCTTTCTCTTTTGGTCAAGATGAGTGTTTCCCAGTGAAAGAAGAGGCATTTTAGACATCTTTGAAAACCTAGTTTTATTACAAGGCAAGTAATTCTCTTAAGCGTAAAGAAAACACTTTGCTGTTTTAGTGGTGTCTCAAAACAAGATTAGATTATTTCTTTTTTTAATTGTCATGAAATATAGGTAACATAAAATTTTCCACCTTAACCATTTTTAAGTGTACAGTTCAGTGGCGTTAAGGATGTTCACATTGTTTTGCTACAGTCACCGAGGATTATTTCTTTTAACATAGGAAGAACATCCTGATGCCAGTTGAGTAACATGTAGATTCCTCAGTACAAGTTGTTGCTCTACCTGAATAGCTTAACTCGTGTACTGTGAAATTTTTCATGTTCTGTGAATACTTTATTTGAAAATAAGCTTTCGATGTCTCTTCCTATTTGGTGGCATTTCAGAAACAGAGACTTTTTCACATTTAAACAGTTATACTTTTTCTGGGGATCATGTGACTAGGAGAACAGCCATTTCTCACTATCACAGTTGGAGCTCATTCACTTTATCATGTTTCTAAATATGCTGAAAAACAGTAAGCAGTCAGCAAACTTACTGTGCTCTATGAAATATTAATCAAACTTGTAATTCTGTTTTGATCAACCCTCATGGACTTCCCAGATTTTGTAACCTTTTTCTAAATATCTGCTCCCTGAACTCCACTGTGGCCTTGAGGCAGTCACAGTTATGGTATACAGTCTGCCAAGGCCCTGAGGCCTCAAGCAGTGTTCCCCGATGAGTATTCCATGGAATTACAAATTCACAGTATTTAGTAAAGGAGAAAAGAGAGAAGGGAGAGGAGAATTACTTGGGTCTAATAGTCCATAACAACACCAACAACTAGGAAACTCGGGGTTAAACAGAGATAAATAGTGTATTTTACTGCAATACTTGTTAGGAGCTCTAATATGCTCTTGTGATTTGTGAATTTCTAATAGGAAGACACAGTACATAAAGAATTCCAAATTGTTAAACTAGGAGTTCCTATTTTGAAGAGCATTATGAAAAACTAGTGTCCCAAGGAACACTTTTTTTGAAAAATGGTAACAAGTGTATACTTGAGTAAAGCCCTCAGAAACATCTTTGGTCTGGATATTCTGATCACACATTTTTATGGTGTTTATAGTAATTGCCTGGGAGAATTCTAAGCAAGGTCTGTATTACTTTAATAGTTTCTCATGGATGTGCCATGAGTCAGTAAGTATTTCTCAAAATAGAGCTTTTGAAATGCAAAGTAAAATGTTGACAAAGTCTTTGAAGGAGAGCTGCCTTTCTCTCTTTTCTGATTAATATGAGAAATTGAGTAAATACTTCTTTATACATTAAGGACAATTAGGAAAATGTGAAATAATTTGTATAAGTTTTAAATGAAATATTATAAAAGATATACAGGAATATATGTTAGAAAATAGTAGACCAAAGTTTAGTGCATTAAAAATTCCAAAGAGAGAATGTTCAGTAGCACACTGGAATGGATC